AGTACTCTGGGCGGGTTCTCTGAGCGGGTACTCTGGGGGGGGCGGGTACTCTTGGTGGGTACTCTGGGTCGTAGTTTTGACAGGGTGTGTTGGCGTTGCAGGTGCAGCCCGGCCCGCCCCCCTGCCCGCTGTTCCACCCGGAGCAGCCTGAGGTGGTGCTGCCCCCTGATGGTCTGTGGGTGCTGCGCTTCCCCTTCGCCTACGCCACAGAGCGAGGACCCTGCTACCCCCCCAAGGACGGGCAACCTCTGAGCGACTACAAGGTCCTGCGGGGGGTCCTGCGAGCGTGCCCCGTGCCCCCCCCGCGCTCCTGAACCCCCCGTGTTTACTTATGTTTTTGGGGTTTTTTTTTTGATAAATGTAAAAATGTGATTATTTTTTTTATTTTTTTCTCTGGAGTAAAACCTTAAAATAAAATCTGCTCTTGTTGTTTAAAAACTGAAATAAATGAAACAGAAAAACACTTTGGTCCCAACAGAAACTCAGAGTCTCGTTTGTGACGTTTGGTCCAAGAGTCGAGTTTCGGCCTCTTCAGGTTCAACATTTGATTTTTGAGACCGGCTCACGGCTCCGCCGAGTCAGACGCAGGTTATGACACAACGAGCGCAGACCCCGCCCCCACCTGGCACCGGCGAGCGCAGACCCCGCCCCCACCTGACACGCCGGGCACTGCCATGTCTCGAGAAAAGGAAATGGTCAGTCTGTCGGTCGACCCGCCGGCCACCGCTCCACACCTGCTCCCTGTGACCCGCCGGGAGCCACTGGCTCTGGAGGACTGTTCGGATTCAGGTTCGGGTTTGGGGTAAATCTTCAGCAGGTTCAGTGGCTTTTTAAATTTCCTTGGTCCAAACTTGTGCTGTTCTTGTGTCTTTGGGCAGTTCGGTCTCTTTTGTTCTTCGCTCCGACCTGTTTCTTTGTTTTCAGTTTTTTTGTTTTCAGTCGTTCTTCAAAGTTCTTCCTGGTCGGTGTGTCCGGCCACAGAGGTCACGCGGGTGGGGGTCACAGGGGCGGGGGTCACAGGGGCGGAGGTCACAGGGCGGGGGTCACAGGGGCGGGGGTCACGCAGACGGAGGTCGTTCCAGAACTGTGACTCGGCAACAAACAAAACTTAAATGAGCCCAAAGCCGCTCGGCCGGTTCTGAGTCGCTACGGAAACAACAACACGACAGAAACAAACATAAGTCTTACTGCACTAAAGATAAAAACCAACATTTCTGTGATTAAAGTAAGAAACAAATTTGGAAACGAATTTGGAGCATTTTGTAAAGGAGAAGAATCTGTGTATCATTCGTTCGTTCGACTGAACAAGGACTGAATCAGGACAAAATCAGGTCCAGAACCAAACCAGAACTAAGACCAGGATTGAGACCGGGACCAGACCAGGACTGAAAACGGTTTAGTCCTAGTTTAGTCCTGGTTTAAGTCATGGAAATGGGAAACAGAGTTTCTGTGACTTTAAAATGCGATGCGGGACTGAACCAGGACTGAACCAGGTCTAAACCAGGACTAAACCAGAACTAAACCGTTTTCAGTCCTGGTCTGGTCCCGGTCTCAGTCCCAGTCTCAGTTCTTGTCTGATCCCAGTCTCAGTCTTGGTCCCTGACTCAGTCCTTGTCTAAGTCCTGGTCTCAGTCCCAGTCTGGTCCCGGACCTCATTCAGTCCTGGTTCAGTCCTGGTTCAGTCCTGGTTCAGTCCTGGTTTAGTCCTGGTTCAGTCCTGGTTCAGTCCTGGTTCAGTCCTGGTTCAGTCCTGGTTTAGTCCTGGTTTAGTCCTGGTTCAGTCCTGGTTTCGTCCTGGTTCAGTCCTGGTTCAGTCCTGGTTCAGTCCTGGTTTAGTCCTGGTTCAGTCCTGGTTCAGTCCTGGTTCAGTTCGGAGGCGCAAATAATGAAGAAAATTGTTCTTTTTCTTATTTTTGGTTTTATATTGAAAAACAAGGTTTTTCTTCTGCCACATTTTTCACTTTGACTTTGATTTTATTACGACTTTATTGTCATAAAATTGCGACTTTTTCTGGCTTCGACTTTATTCTCATAATATTACGACTTTATTCTCGTAGCGCCAGCGTGTTTTTTTGTTTTTTTTATCTGACTCTTATACTCGTCGTACGACTGAACTCAAACGAAAAGGAAAAAACTATTGAACAAGACGTGTTTTTTGTATTTTAACTATAAAAAGTTTTGTTCCTCTGCAGATCATTTTACTACAAATCAGGATGAAATTCTAATTTAATTCAAGTCGTCTGAACTTGGTTAGATTAAATTTTTTGCAGCGTTCATGAAAACTCTGACTTGATGACATCACGAGGTGGAGCAGAGCGTGTGGAGTTTTGGATACAGACTCATGATAAAGATTTACTCCAACGTGTGAAAGAAACAAAGAGACGAGCAGCAGAGTTTTTGTTCACAGGAAACTTTATATACTTTATAAAACAGCAGATTTAAGTTCAGTGTAAATAACCGAAAAAAAACTGTTTAGACGGGTTTAGGTTTTGGGTTTTAG